AACGGGAGGTGAGTAGGTATGGGGTGGCCCTGCAGCCACCTCGTCCCTTTGCAAGGGCTGGGACCCTTCACAGGGGGATGCCCCGCTGTGCCCCAGCCCTCTCCAGTCCTGGGCTTGGGCAAGAGCATACAGCAAAGCCTGCTTCGGGCTTAGCAAGCTCTTCAAATTATAACCCTACAGGCGAGTGGCCTGTGCTGGTCCCTGGGGACATGCAGGGAGGCCACCCTGGCTTACAGGTGTCCCTGTGCCGTGCCCTCCAGGGCTGGGGATGCACACAACTGCCTGCGGGAGTAAGACTGGGGGGAACCGCTCCCGCCTTTACATGCCTTCCTGAAAATAATGGAAATACGAACCGGAACGACGACCGGCAACGTCTTCCAGAATAATTTTTAATTCTGGAAACTTCTGAATTTCTCGGTGGCATCGGGGTGGTTCGTGCCATCCTGTGCGTAATTTCTGACATCTCTCTCTGGTGTTCTGGCATCATAACAAAACCCGACGGTGATGTGTAAAACTCCCCTAAGCAGCAGCAGGAGGGATGTCTCTCTGGGAGAGCTTTAGGCACTGGTTTAACCAGCGCCAGCTGGGACGCCGGGGGGCGGACGTGCTCTTGTCCCCCCCAGGAGCCCTTCATCCCCTCCTCCTCTGCCGCCGGGTGCCTGCATGGGCTGGATGTGATGCCAAAGGCACAGGAGCGAGGCATCGGCGGCAGCCCTCAGCAGCGCAAAAATCTCGCCAACAGCTGAAAATTTTAAGAATTGGCTGGCTAATGAGCATTTGCTTACTAGCAGCTGAAATATTTGTGCACCTCCCCATCCCTGGAGGGATTTAAAAGCCGGGCAGACGAGGCGCTTAGGGACAGGGTTTAGTGGTGGGATGGCAGGGTTAGGGGAATGGTTGGACGTGATGATCTTAAAGGGCTTTTCCAACCCAAACGATTCTATGATTCTATAATCTGGGTGCTGCATTTCTCTTTCTGCAGCCTCACCTGTGCCACCGCAGGGTTTGGCCTTGGAGACAACCCAAGCGATGGTCTCAGTCCCTGGCCGTGCCCCTGCCGATCCCCCCGCTGCTCATCAGGCGTGCTGTGCCGTGCCGTGCCGTGCCGTGCCGTGCCACACACAGGGCCTGCGGCAAGTGCGACCGAGCAACTGCAGGAAGCGCTAAGCCAGCACGAGGGCGGCCGCGGTGGAAACGCGCCCGTTTGCTGACCGAGAGGGCTGGTGGGTGACCGCATCCCTCCGCGGAGCCGCGCCGGGGAGCTGCAGCTGTTTCCTGCCGGTGCCAACAGGATCCGAAAGGTTTAAAACTCCCCAAAGGCTGCACGTTGCCTCTGCCGGAGCCCCTGCACCACAGCCGTTGCAAAGCCAAGCTTTGATTTTTACACAGAAACTGGCCTGTACCCTGGTGGGGTTCGCTCCTTCTCTCTCTCGAGTACTTGGGAGCGTGCAGCCGTCGGGCACTTTGCATGTCTGTCTGTCCTGCCGTTGCGCGCAGGGGGGCTGAGGACAGGCTTCCTCCGCTCGCTGCCTGCTGCGAACTGGCTCCTACCTGGGGCAGCACGTGTAAAACCCTCCCATTCTCAAGGATAAATCCACTCTGCACAGCGATGCTGGCCTTATAGTCCCAGTTGTTCAATTAGCATTGCTCTAAAATTAAATAATTACTTTCTATCGAGCCGACTGAAGACATTCCCCAGGGCAGAGCGAGGCTCAGGCCGGCACTCTCCATGCTCTTTGAAGATATTTTCTACCCAAATTGAAGAAAGAGGAGACCCCCATGGATGGCAGCGAGCCCTGCAGATGGCAGCGAGCCCTTGGGCTGGGGGTGAGCCTGGCCATCCTTGAGCTACGGGGTGGTTTCACATGGGATAACTGCATGGGAGATGGAGATCTGGGGCTGTGTCTCAGCTGGGGACTGCAGGCTGGGCAGCTCCTTCCTGGGACCTGGGGCAGGTCCAAGCCGGGTGTTTGGCCCCATCTAGGAAAAATCCTGCCTGATGGCTGAGCAACCCTCCCCGGGGAGCCCCAAGGCACACGTGGTGCTCCCGGCCCGGTGCAGCCGGGCTTTGCAGCCACGCATTTCCCAGCAGAGCCGGGTGCGTCTCCCCCTCTGCCTTTGCACTCGCCAGGGACCAGCACCCCGAAATCCTCCACCAAGCCCTCGCCCACAGCTTTAAGCGACCATTTCAGCTCCAGCCCCATGGCGCTGACCATCAGCAGCAGGATGGAAGCCCTTTGTGGTGGGTCTGCTCCTCCAGGGAGACCCTCCATTCCCTGCCAGCGCTCTGGAAATGTTGCCGTGGCCCCAAGCCCTGGCACGGACAAACCCCTCACCCCCATCTCCCCGCGCGGCCCCTCCATGGGGTAACTCACATTTGACTCTCCCGCGGCGCCTAGTCCCCCTCGGCTCCTGCCATTGCACTGCGAGCTCCAGCCCCGAGCCCGCGCATTGCTCGGAAGGTTTATTATTAGAGATAGATTTGATTAATGCCTGGGCCATGCGTTTCCTGGGGTTTCCCCTTATCCCTTCGATGCAAATGGGCCGCACGCGCAGCGCATTGCATTGGCTCGCCGGGTGTCAAAAGCCGGCGGGTGACCCTGTGGGTTATTGCTTGCCCGAGCTTTGCTGCCAAGGAGCTGCTATGTCAGTGCCAGAGGCCGCACAGCCCCAGGGGATGCCATTGCGTGGGGCTGCCGGTGGAGAGGAGCAAGTCCCCCTCGCTGGGGGTCTGTGTCACGGCCACAGAGCCCCGCGGGTAGCATCCTGCCAACACCGCACAGCACCAAGGGCCGGCCACCCCCGCCTGCCGGCTTACCCTGCCTCCGGCCGGGACCAAGCACCAGCCCATGCCACCAGCTTGGCTCCTGCTCGCGGCATGCAGAGCATCTTCTGGGGCCCAACAAGATGCCTTTAATGCTGCTTTTCCCTAGTGTATCCATGTCTCGGAGGCAGGAGCGTTGCAGGAGGGCTGCGCTCGCCGGTGCTGCCCTGTGTGGGCAACGGAGGTCCCGGCTGGGCTCGGGGCCCGGTGCTGCCCTCGCTGCTGGCAGCGGAGGTGCACGAAGCATTAATAACACAGCTTGGTTTTCACCGAGGGGAAGAGCTCCCTCTGCGCTGCCGGCAGCCTCCAAGAGCGGAGCTCTATATTTATTTTTAGATCTCAACCTCACCCGGCAAGTGGAATGGGTTTGATCAGCAAACCCACGAAGGAGCAGCCAGGCGGCACCCCCGGGGCTGGGATGGGGGGTGGGATTCAGACCGCACTGTGCTGCTGAGACCGTCCGCCCTCGCTCAGCCGGCTGCGATCGTCGCCACGGGCAGCCTGGTGCCTCCGACCAGCAAAATACCCCGGCGTGGATCTGGCCGGTGGCACGATGCTCCGTCGGGAATGCCTAGTGAAAGCACAGCAAGGGCTGTCAGGCTCTGGAAGGGGCTTCCTGGGGAAGGGGTCGAGTCCCCATCCCTGGAGGTATTTAAAAGAAGGGTCGATGAGGTGCTTAGGGACAGGGTTTAGTGGTGGGATGGGCAGGGTTGGGGTAACGGTTGGACTTGCTGATCTTAAAGCTCTTTCCCAACCTAGACGATTCTGTGATTCTATGATTCAAAGCCAGACTGCGTGGTTACTGGTTTACCCCTTTTCCACCAGCAGCGCATCCATTTCTGGAGGTTTCTACCCCTTTGCCGCAGAGGTGCTGGGCAGGGTCGTGCCGTGGCCGTGGCCGTGGCGCCGGGAAGGGTGAGGGGTGCCGGGAAGGCGGCAGGACAGTGACTCAGCTCGGCCCGGCGGGACCGTTCTGCAGAAGCAGCCGAGGGGGGAAGGAAGAAGTAATACCTGTTACTTTCTATAAACACCAGTGGGGCAGCGTCAAGGTTTTTTCCATTCAGCTCAAAAACTCCTGCTTTGTGCTTTCCATGGTGATCTGCAACCGAGAGAGACCAAAAGGGCGCTTGCGGGGTGCAAGGCGGGGTGGGTTGCAGGGACATCGGAAGCTGAATCTGCTCACGGGGAGCAAACCCCCAGGTGGAGAAACCCAGCACCTCCCATGTGGCTGCGTGTGGCCCATCGCATCCCAGCTCCTCCAGGAGGGAGGGATGGATCCTGCACTGGCACCATCTGATGGAGCAGGGCGCTTGGAGCAAGGATTGGGAGAGGAGGCACACCGTGGCCCTAGGGCCACCGAAACACCAACGCTGTTGCCACGTGTTGTGGCTTTGCACGTGCATCTGATGCAAAGGATGGGGTTGTTGCTGGGCTTGAGTGTCCCACTGGGAAGGCCTGCGGAGGGTCCCAGGAGGGAGCAGGCAGGCAGAGGCATGGCTGGGAGGGGGGGGGTTGCATGGGTGCAAGGGCTTGGGGGGAAAATGCACTTTTGACCGCACATAGCTGGTGGCCATCCATGCGTGGACTGCACCCCAGTCAGATGGCAGAGCCCGTGGCCCATTTGCCTGCAGAGCTAAAGCCGACGGCAAAGGAAATGGTGATTTCGGCAGCGCCTGTGCTGCTTGAGGGTGGCAGAGCACGGCCCCTGGAGCGACGCTCCCAGCCCTGCCCTCCGGCTGTCGGGGTTTTGCAGGGGAAACCTGCCTCTGTAAATAGCAGCGGGAGACTTGCAGTTTCCACCCTGGTGGGCCCTCGAGAGGGAACTGAGAAGCACTTGGGGGCGGTTTGTCCCTCCTCGCTGAGCAGAGACCGGGCGGTGTGATTTCAGCTTTAAAATTCTCGGTGTATGCTGCCACTGGATCCCACCTCCTCGGCCGTGCGCCCCAGCAGCCTGACCCTCTGTGCCCCGAGCGGCATCGCCCCCTCCCACAGCCTCCGAGGACGACGCGTGGCTCCTAAGCACGCCCGAACGCGGTCGCCCACGAGCTGCCATCTCACAGCCAAGGCGGTGGCTGGTGGCCTGCCCTGCCTGGGCTCGTCCCCATGCTTGGGGACACAGGGCAGCGGCTGCCAGCACCCTGTTCTGGGTCCCTGGGTTAAACCCTTCCTTTGCTGCATGCCACTGGTGGGAGAGCATCCAT